CAATTTGCATGCGTATATTAAAATCAAATTAAATTGAATACAGCGTGGTATAAAATACTCGTATGCAAAATTTTGTTTTAAAACATAAAATATTGAATTTTCTTCTAAAAATCTAAATTTAGGAACTTGAGAGAGTATAGATTTTAAACAGAAGTGTCTCTCTGATGATTAAAGAAATAATAGTCGATAATGTCAAAATCAAAAATTAGTGGTTCGAAATTAACTATTTCTGAATTATGTTGAATAGATGGCGGCACACTTACAATTAAATAATTTGTACTTATTCATGTTCGGTTATGATATACAGGCAATTCACTAAACGAGTCACAATTTTTGTTGTTTGTTACTTTTAGAAAATTTAAAATTTTAGATTCAGATGAAAATATTTTAAATTTTTTTTGAATCACCCTGTAATGTATGTCATACGATATAACCTCACGCATTTTATTTTACATTAGAATTTCTATGTTAATTTAAAATTTTAAATATGTATAAAATTTGCTGCAATATAAAGTAATTATTGGTTTTTGTAATTATGAATTTAATTTAATTATAGTTAGAACATAATTTTGAATAAGTTTTAAATTGATTTTTATTAAAGTTGTATATGGCAGTATTGTACTCAATGAAAAAAATCAAAAGCAAGAAATCATTTTGGTAAATTTGGGAATAATTATTATTGTAAAGTGGCCGTACGGCATACACATATTAAGTCTGTCTAAGATAAAATTTTGTAAAAATTATTGAGTATAAATAAGAGAAGAAAAACTGACATACTCGTATCATCAGATAAGAGTAAACGAATCGGACTGTATGTATATTTTATGATATGAGAAATTTTAAAAATTTAAACCACATACGGTAATAAGCACCATGTTATTTATCATTGAAATGCAGTTTTCTTATAATAACATTCTGCAAATTTTTAAAACGTACAAACCGCTCATTCAGCCCTCATTTTAACACAAACTGAGTTGTTTTGCGCAGAGAAAAATTCTGAATGTTTAAAACTGACATGGTCCAAAGCATTATAGGCTACAAACTACGAAGAAAAGAATTTCATTTATAAATCATTGGTATTTAAAAAAAAATTTATGAAAGTGTTAAATAATAATTATAACATTTTTATCGCATTTATAAAATTTTTCTATAATTTTTTACAAATATTACAAATATTTAATTTTAAAATACAAAGAAATGTGCAAATTTTAAACGTTTATAATAAAATAAGTATTTTATTAATTAATTAAATTGCAAATTAAATTAAATCGTATGTGTTATTTAAATTTATTAATAAGAAATTGAAACTTTTAATACGATCATGAGAGTGTAAAGTATACAAATTATAATTTATAATTTTGTTATTGTTGTACAAAAGGTTCTAAAAGCTATGCAATTAAGATTTTATTATATAATTATTTAATCAATAACTAAATAATTCAATAAAAAAAATATGTGTAAAATAATTTATTAAAAATTAAAATTAATTCACAATAGAAGATTTTTAAAGGAAAACTGATTTAATGAAATTTTTCTGTTCTGTTATAGTTATTGATTTACGAGTTCCTTATTTATTTTTTTAGCGATATTATGTAATTTGTCTAGTAATATAACATTTATCTATTACATGTTATATTTTTATTAAATAACAAAGTGTTAGAAGGTTTTTTTTTCATTCTGAAAATTCCAGAAAATCTGTCACTTTGCTTCTTTTAATAAAATGGTAAATAGCTACTTAAGTATTCTTGATAACTTGAATTTAAAGAATTATGTTTAAAAATTCATAGAACAAGTAGTTGTCTAACAGCTTGGCAAGGTAATTTAGAAAAACAAAAACTTCATTATAAATACATCATTCTATTATAAATTCAATTTGATGAAAAATGTCATCCACTCAAAACAAGAAATCATTCTCTTATTGTTTTCATTATAAGTCCAGGTATTGGAGGACGTCATTTATTTGCAATAATTTCGTAATTTCAAATATGAATTATTGTAGAACTGCTGGAACTTCTTTGAATTTATATTGACTTCTAATATTAGAAATTTTAAAAAGAAATTAGAACTCAATTAAAAATTTTAATAATTCTTGTATATTCAATAAGGGGGTTTCAATTCGATTTACCATTACAATTTAAGCTGCGAATTCATCGCACTATTACAATATTAAGTTATTTAATGTACAAAATTAATTCATATTTATGTAGGTATGTATGTGCTTGATCAAAATTTGATATGCGAATTAAAAAAAAAAACCTGCAAAATGCAATATAAAATAAAAGTTACCATTCTTTAATTATTCTTGAAAATTAAAAAGACAAGTAAAACGAAAAAAATTTTTTTAATAATAATAAAACGGAAGCATTTTTAAATTAAGTACACACTTTTAAATTTTTATTATGAAATCGTAAACCTTAAGAAAATATTTCAAGTTCAAAATCAACCTACGTACATTGCATTCAACGAAAATGAGAAATTCATAAAATATTACCAGTTAGAAATTAAAGGGGAACAAGTTAAAAAAATGTCACTTTGAGTTTTAAAAACAAAAAAAAATTAATGTAATGCATCAATTAAAACAATGAAATCAGTTATGTTATCAATTAATCAATGAAATGAAATAGAGGCAAATATCTTGTCAAATTTATCAAGGACGGGATCTTTTGTTGGCTTTATGCTAGATGGTAGCTCACATACTACCCTTCTTATTTTTTTTCCTGCTACTACATTTAGTGTAATACTGCAATTACTACTACAGCTACTAGTACTATTGTTAATGTTGAAAACTACTACTGCTATTACTATTACCACCACTACTACTAGAACCACTATTACTATTACTTCTACTACTAATGTATCACTTAAGGAAATTCAAAATCTTAAAATCTGCACTTATAAGTTTTTTGTTTTTAAACTGATGATATGCAAATTGTATATATTATATTATTAGTGGCCGAAACACTTGTTTCCCTTCTTATTAACCTCTTACTTTTTTTTATTATTCTTTTCATTATGCTTTTCATTATTTGCACTCAATATGCCATAAAAAACGATTGTTATGAATTAATAAACTATTCTTTAATGGTCTTATGTGGCCCTTTTATGCATATGTAAATATAATCCGTTAAAATTTTCACCTTGAAATTCAATAAAAAGTAAAATCAAGTTTTAATCTTTTTTTTTTTTCTTTGTCTTCTGGAAATATTAAATTTAATATTATTAATTTTATTTTAATGAAGTAATTTACAAAATTTAATTACTTTATTATAACTCTAAACTCCCAAAAAGTAACCGCAAAACCAAAAAATTTTGTTCAATTAAATTACCTCATTTACAGTGCATGTTTGCATTTCCTATACATGTGTATGTATCGTGTCGTACTTGTACGTATATTAATAAATATTGGACAAAACAAATGATGTTAAGTTCAGATTTGAATGAACAATAAGTCATTTTCAGCATACCTAAAGTTACGAGTATGTTGTTTTGGCTTTGTGCCACCGAATTCATTTTGATCAAAATTTTGACAAATTTAAAATAAATAAAAGAACATTAGGTGTCTATAAAAGCGATTGTTTGCTTTGTAGCGATCAGGTGGTAAAAGTACTGGTTCAATGATAACTTCGCTTATAATTGACACCTTAACGAAGTAAGCAAAGTATCACAGGGCCGATGACAAATAAATCTTCGTTTTTCGTTTATTTCATTAATTAATTTCAGCTCTCAAAACTTTTAAAGGAAACAAAGTAAAGGACCTGATCATTGAGTCATTCCGCTAAGTTTAAAAAACATTTCTCAATGCTGCAATTTCCAGGCCAATGTTAGGTTTGATCTAAAAACAGAAGTGATGAAATACCTTCTTTTATAGAGTATAACCTATTCTTTAAACTAGATTTATTTAAATAAGAGAAGTTTGATGAAACATTTATGATAAAATTTTGAATCTATTTGTCATACTAAAGACAAATGACAAATTACTTAATAACATTGTTAATTACATAAATTGTTATTATTCAAATAAATTTGTTTTATTTATTTTTCTACATTAATAATACATACATTGTATACCTATACCTATGTATGTATATATGTTCATATATATGAAAACGTTTACAATTCGCATTTAAAATTTGCATTTTATAATTTTTCATTTTTTCGAATTTATAAAGTAATTTGCAAATATTATCAAATAAAAATATTAATTTTATTTCGAATTATATTGAACTTCATAGCATTATGTGTAATAATTATAATAAGCAATTTCTATATTAATTAATTCAATTTTTTTTTTGATGACTTTATTCTACAATATTTATTTTTTATTTTCAATTTTTTATTTAAATATTAATTGAATATTAAGTAATCATGTTTTTCTATATCGCATGTTAGATCATTTTTTACGTATTAAAGTAAAATTCTAATTAACATAAAAATTAATTTTATTTAATTATTTATGTAAAATAAGAATTTATTTAATTAATGGGTAATTTTGAATTTGTCAGATTAAAAACAAATATCTAGCTAATTAATTAATGAAAATGAGAAAATAATTTTGATTCAATTAATTTTTTAAATATTTATGAACGAATAATCGGAATAAAGCATAAAATGTGCAAAATAAATCAGTCAAAGCGCATTTATTTGTATGCAAGCAATTTTGTATGCACGTAAAATTTTCAACATATTGAGAACAAAATTCAACATCAACTATATGCAATTCACAATTATCCGATTTGTATTCAAAATCGAATATCAATTGAAAATCGATGTTTTGTAGTTGCAATCAACAGAAAATTGTCCATCAAGTGTTCGATACAAAAACATTTTTGACATTTCTTTTGAAATATCATTGATTCGTAAACAATTCAACTGACAATTAAGAAAATCTATAAATTTTTCTCCCCGAAAAATAATATTTAAAATATGCTAACTATATTTTCAATAATTAAAAGAAAAACAAATTTCATTAATTATATTTTTCTTTTTGATATAAATTTCAGTTTCTTCATTTAAGTATCATTTGGAATTTGGAAAAAACACAAGGAAAAAAACAATATGGGTTCCATACCACAATTATCAATTGTTAAAGGACAACATCGTGATTTAAAAAGTCAACGTTTAAGTAAAATATTTGAAGTAAATTTAACATCATGGTCAACAAATACAGCAATGATATATAATTGTCCAAGAACATCAAAACAAAATCAAATAACATATGAAGATTTAAATGCAAAATCAAATCGTATAGCACGTGCTATTATAAGAGAATCAGCACAACGTTTTTTAAAACCAAATCAAGATAATGATTCAATAATAGCAGTTTGTATGGAACCAACTGATAAATTAGTTATGATATTATTATCAATATGGAAATCTGGTGCTGCATATTTACCACTTGAACCAAGTTTTCCAACAAATCGTATTCATCATATATTAAATGAATCAAAACCATTAATGGTTATATGCGATGATATTGTTGATACAACAATATTTCAAAAAACACATACATTACGTATATCTGATCTATTACATAAAGCAAGTACAATGGATGATAATAATTTATCAGATTGTAAACTTTTACCATTTTCAAATAAAGATTTGGCTATCGTTTTGTATACGTCTGGTAGTACGGGTATACCAAAAGGTGAGAATAAAATATATATTTTGTGTACGGTTGTTTACCATTTCTGGAAAATAAATATATAATTTTATGTCCAGTGAGCACGTACATACATAATTAATAATTAGAATTATTTTGCGATTTTATAGGTTTTTATCGTTAATAAAATATGCATATGAACTCAGTACTCACGTATGTTGTTAATTATAGTACAAATTGCGTTAAAGGTGTGAAATTTTTTATTGAAATCTTACTTCATTACGAGTCATATTTCAATATTATTGATAGTATTAGGGATTATATGCAATAATTTCAGAGCTAATGAGCTTTATAATTTGACTCACTAAAAACTCACATTGATAACATTAAATCTTAATACTTACTTAATTAAATTTTTTTCTTAAACTCTAGCTTAAATTCAAGAATTTTCATTGAAAATTATTAAAATTTATTAAGTATTTTGAATAAATGTATTAGAAATTGCATCAGACCCTAAGCCAAAAATCTTCACAGAAATATAATATTCCCCCCTATATAATTTTTTTGATCATACGAGTATAAGTTTAGAAAGATCTTGAAAGTATAAAATTTCCCATCTCTTCTAATTAATTTTTCTTTAATTTTCAATTATAATTGGCACCTTAACCTTTTATTTTATCTTAACCAATTTAATACACTTATACAATAAAATTTATTTTTCTTATTTCTGCATTTGATTATTTGTTTTTCATATTTTTCTTTCTATAAAATTTTGCAGGTGTTCGTATTCCACATGCTGTTATATTGAATCGTTTAACATGGCAATGGGAACAATTTCCATATATGGCTGAAGAATCAATTGGTGTTTTTAAAACAGCATTAACATTCGTTGATTCAGTATCGGAAATATGGGGACCATTATTATATGGTAAGTACGATAACTATAATTAATAAAATAAAAGAATAACTATAATTCAAGAAATTATTAAATAAAAATTCAATTTGGAAATTAGCAATAATTCAAATTACAATATTTCTTCTATTTATTCGAATTTTAAAGGTATGTCAATTTTGGTTATACCAAAAGTTATTACAAAAGATCCAGAACGACTGGTTGAATATCTTGAAAAATATAAAATTCGACGTTTAGTATTGGTACCAACATTATTACGTTCATTACTATTATATTTGGGTATGAATAAAAATCAACAACTTTTATATGATTTAAAATATTGGATATGTTCTGGTGAACCATTATCAATAACATTGGCAAAAAGTTTCTATGAATATTTTCAAGAGGGACATCATACATTATTCAATTTTTATGGTTCCACTGAAGTTATGGGCGATGTAACATATTTTATATGTGAAAATCGTAATCAATTAGCAAATTTCGATAGAATACCAATTGGTATACCAATAAATAATACAATTATATATTTATTGGATCAAGATTATAGACCAGTTAAAAATGGTGAAATTGGTGAAATATTTGTTGCTGGTTATAATTTAGCAGCTGGTTATGTTAATGGAAGAGATGAACATCGTTTTATAGAAAATCCGTTAGCAGTTGATTCAAGTAAGCATAATTTAATGAAATTTATAAAAGTTAATTTTCAGGTTATATGACAATATTATTGAAAATATTCACGGAATTGGAACAAACCGTTAGGCCTAATTTTAATCCACAAATAATGTACACTTTTTTAAACGTACTTAAATTGTACCCTCATGAAAAAATTTCATATAAAATTTTCATCTAGTACCCAAACCGTAGAGTTTATAACTTATTTAAATTTTAATAGATGTCGCACAAATCGTTAAAGTTATATTGTATGGAAAATAAATTTTCACCACATTTTTAATACTGGCGGAGTGTGATTTTTAAAACTTTTGAATTGTTTTTTTTTATAAGTTTTTTTGTTTTTTTTTTTTTATATTTTAAAATTTCAAAAAGCCTTTGAGGTTAATTTAATCTGTTTTTTCCATTTGTAGAATATTCAAAACTTTATCGTACTGGTGATTTCGGTTCCCTAAACAATGGATATTTAATGTATGAAGGACGTACAGATTCACAAATTAAGATTCGTGGACATCGTGTTGATTTGTCAGAAATTGAAAAAAATCTTTTAAGACTTGAATATATCGAAAAAGCCGTTGTACTTTGTTATCATGCAGGAGAAATTGATCAAGCAATATTGGCATTTGTAAAATTAGATGATGACTCAAAACCACGTACTGGATTACATATTGAATCAGCATTAAAAGATGCTCTACCAACTTATATGATTCCTCAAGTAATTATTATTGATAAAGTACCGTTATTAGTTAATGGTAAAGTTGATCGACAAGCTCTATTGAAATCATATGAAAATGCAAATAATAATGAAGATTCAGAAATTATAATCGATTATGATTATAGTGATGTTCCAGAAAGTTTACAAATAATAGCTGAAGATTTATTTGAAACAGTTGGTAGTGTAATTGGACGTTCAACAAGAACAACATTATCAGTTAAAAGTAATTTTTATGAATTGGGTGGCAATTCATTGAATTCCATATATACTGTAACGAAATTGAGAGAGAAAGGCTACTTCATTGGTATCTCTGAATTTATTGGTGCTAAGAATTTAGGTGAAATTTTAAAGAAGATTTCAAAAGGAAATGTAATTGAAATGGAAGAAGATGATGTCGGTTCTACATTAAATTTGAAAGCATATCCATTGAGACATGAAGATCGAGAAATTGTTATTGAGTAAGTTGATTTACATTAATTAAGAAATTTTGAATACAAGCAATTTTATTAATAATCTCATGTTGATGTTTTTTAGAATTATTACGGAAAGTTTTTATGAAAAGGCTGATTTAGAGCAATGGTTAAAACCTGATATTTTACCGAGTGATTATTACGATATATTAACAGCTGTTTGGGGACCATTAGTTGAAAAAGGATTAAGTTTTATTGTAAAAAATGGTGATACAAATGAAACAATTGCTGCTGCATTAAATTTTGATGCTCGTGATGAACCAGCTGTAGAAGTTAATAATAAAATGGTTATAATTTTTGATTTTCTAGAATATTTAGAAGGTCCAATAAGGTAAAAGAAAATTCGAATTCAAAATTTTAAATAGGATTTTTTATTAATTTTCTTTTATTTTAAATTTTACAGAGATAATTATTTACCAAAAGGATTAAATAAAATTTTACATTCCTTCATGATGGGTACAGATCAAAAATTAAGTGCACAAGAAAATATAGTTTGTATGCATTTTATGGAAAGTGAAGTATTAAAATTGGCAAAATCGAAAAAATTTGCTGGCATCTTTACAACTAACACTAGCCCTTTAACACAGGTATGCAATAAAACTATATATATATATATATATTTTTTTTTTAAACTTCATGAAATTTAATTCATTTTTTTAAATTTTTAGCAACTTGGCGGAGATGTTTATGGCTACAAAACTTTATTAGATTATCAAGTTAATAAATATGTACATTCAGATGGCTGGAGACCATTTGCAAAAGCTCCAGATTCACAAAGAGCAATTGTACATTGGAAAGCTATTAGTGATGAAGGTCGTATTTAAAATGTTAATAAGTAATTTTTTTTTTTTTAGGAATATTAGAAATTAAATTTAAATTATTAGATTATTATTATCAGTATTACAATGTCTTCAATGAATAGTTGTTGTTTCGACAAAATTTTCATTTTTGCGATTTTAAGTTTTATGTAAAAATTCGTAAAAGATCAGATATAATTTAATAATATTGTATATTTATATTTAAAATTAGAAAACAAAAAGTGTTTAGTAATTATTATAGTATATTCTATATTTTTTTTTTGTTTTAATTTATGATTTAGTTTTAGTGTAAACGATTTAGTAATCTCACGAACAAAAATACAATAAAAAAAAATAAATAAATTATATTATTAAAATTTTGTGAATTTTATGTAGAGATTAATTTTAATAATTTACAAATAAAGAATATCAAATCAATTACAAAATAAAACTGATTTTTTAATAATTTATATGAAAAATTAATTCTTTGTTAGATATAAATAAAAAATTTTAAAGAAATTGAAATTGGATGTGTATTGTAAGGTATAATTTAATGAAATTCGCTAAACGACAATATTTACGCCTTAATCTTATGTAGAAATATGAATATCTCATCCAGATATGTCCTTTAAAAAATTAAATCAGAGATTTCCTATAATTTAGATATGCGTTTGAAGTTCTAACTTAATCCTAAAAATATATGTTTCTGGGCTTTCGTTAATTTAGTTCTAAAATAGTTCTAATTTATACCACGTTGGAAATTGTATGGCCACACATTGAAAATATAGTTCGGAAATTACTAAATGCAATAAAGAAATATTATGAATGAAGTGCAGTTTAAATTTTTTGACTGCCGCATGAGATTTATTTCTTGTTTTCATTTAAAAATTTTAAAATTTCAAAATTTAAATGTCATTTATGTCCTTTTCAAGCGACTGATAATGCAAAATTTAAGTTGTAATGTAGCTTAAGTTGTAAACGAAAACCCCCGAAGTAGATTACTTTTTCAAATTTTCAATATCTTATATTTTTCATTTGAATTTATTTACAGCATTTCAAAGTAATCTTTGAAAATGCTTTAGAACTTTACTGAACTTTGCAGACTGAAAACAAAATTTTGACGTTAAAGAATTTGCGGCTACTGCCTCTGTCTTCTTATAGATAATTGCAAAAGAAAATTTAATAATAAGTGACAAAATCAATTTTTTTTTTTACTATTTTTTCAATTTTTTTTTATTAATTTTTTTTTCTTTAATTTCTTTTATTTATTTTTTTTTTCATCAAAGTATACACCATTGATTTCCCTGAATTTACAGAATTCCTTACATCATTTATATAATTTTTTTTTCCTCAATTTAATTACTTATATAATATACTATTTTTTTTTTTTTTTGCTTTATTTAATTTTTTTCTTCTTTTTATTTCTTACCCTAAATTAATTTTTTTTTTGTTTTAATTTCTTTATTGTAATTTTATTTTAAATATGTTTAATACATATTTTATTATGTATGTATGTATGTACATATTTTTATATTGTATATCTAATATATCTAATTCAGAAAGTTATTTTAAAATAAAAAAGAAAGAAAATGCGAATGGAAGAAAAGATTTCAGATCTTTTTTTTTATTTATTTTTTTTTTTTGTTTGAAATGAAAAAAAATATCAAGTCTTTTACTAATTTTTAAGCTAGCTTTTGGTTTTTTTTTTTCAAATACAAAATTATTGAGCTACATATTTATATAGTATAAAAAGTAATAAAAAAATTTCAGTTCTCTCTCTAAAAGAAGAAACCATTTTGTTTTTTATTTTTTAAAACATAGCTTTTACAAAATGTCATTGAATTTTAAATTCTAGCGCGTTCTATATATCTTTCTTTTTTTTTTAAATTTTTTAGCAAAATATATTGAAAATTATTAATTTAGTTTATAAAAATTATATATGAGAAAAATAAGGCTCCAATTTACTATTTATATACATAATAATTGTATGCTAATTTGTATTTTAAATTTTAAAATGGTATGAACCTCTTCAAAAATAAAAAAAAAAACGAAAATATTTTCGAAATTATTATGTAATTAATTTAGGTTTTTTTAATATTATATGTATAATAGAATTGTAGCAAGGATTAAGGTAGATTTTATAAATTTTCTCTAAATAATTAATTATTGCCGAAATTTTCAATTACCGTAAATGCAACAAAATGTTTTTAAGATTTTAAATAGAGGAACACTGATATTCTCCCCCCCCCCACTATAATAGATACTTAAAATTTCGAACTTGAAATCTAAAGATTTATTAAGAACATATAATTACGCGTATGTTTTAAAATAATTAAATTTTAAATTTAAAAATGAATTTGAAAGTAAATTTTAATTTGATTATTTGAGTGAATGGTGTGAGAAGTTTTTATATATTATTGGTATTTATTATACATGAAAAAAATTTACATATTTATTTAAAATATATTATTAAATTTTAAAATTTCAAAATTATTGTTTTAAATTATTCAAATTTGTTTAAAATTTTTCGATAAACGAATTCAATATTTTACTATACTTCAATTTATTTACTTTAGTAAGGAGAATTTATTTTTAATTCGAAATTCTTTGCTTACTAAACTATATATTTTATACAATATTTAAAAAAAATTGCTAATAAATTAATAAAATTTAATTATAATAAAATTAAACAATATTTTGAACTTTTTCCATTTCTTTTAAATTAAATAAATCTTATTCATAAATATTGAATATTGAATATTTTAATATAGAATAATAAAACTTTGGCTCAAAAATACGAGTATATATATAACAAAATAGAAATTTTACAAAATTAGGTAAATTAAAACAATTAATAAAATTTTATTCTTAATATTTAAATACATACATATTTAAAAATATTTACATTAAATAATAAAATTTTAATTAAAAAAAAATTTTATTAATTGCTTAATTTATTTTGTATAATTTTAATTTTATTTTATATTTTATATATTTTTAATGTTCAATATTTAATTATAAAATTTTTATTTCAAAATATTGCAAAAATTCATTTTATTAGAATTAAATTTTTTTTATTTATGCTTTTAATAAAAAAGTTTTCATTATAACAAAATTACAAAAGTTTATAAAATAAGTAAAAAATCGATTAATTTTTCAAAAATTTCCGAAATCGCATTTTTATAATAATTTTTTTTTGTATAATTTTGCATTTATTATTTTTATGTATATATATAAATATTTTTAAATGAATTATTTTAATTATATGCGGTTATTCTGATTATTCTTATATTGGGAATTTTCACTTAATAAATACTTATAATCACTTTAAAATATTAAATTTTAAAATAATATAAAATATTTGATTTGGTTAATTATGTTATTAATTAATTAATAATTTAAAGAAAAAAACCTATGATTAAATGTGTATAGCATAAATATAGCATATGTATATACATATATGTATAAATTATATAATAAAATATTATTATAATTAATTTGCTGCAATAAAATTACATAAAAAAGTAAATTTAAGTATCTATTTAAATTTTATTTTTGATTTTTATAAAAATTTTATTTAGTTTGCTTAAACCAATTTATAATTTATACATATATATATATATATATAATAAAAATATTAACAATTTTTTTTTTGTTTTTTGAGAATTTCAACAAATATGAATTATATAATTAATATTAATGAAAAAATTTAACATTGAAAATTTACATTTTATTTACAAATTTTATTTTTTATTAATTTTTGCGTTTCTAATTGAAATCTTTATCTTCCATTCATATTTGAATTTTCTTTTTTATTTTACAATAATAATTAATTTTTTAATTTTTGTTAAATTTAAATTACAATTTATTACTTTTTTTTATTTTTACAAATAACTACAATATTATTTCTTTTTTGTTTTGTTTAATTTTATTTTTAATAAATTTGTTTTTTAGCATTTTAATTAATTAATTAATTAATTTAACCTAGCAGATTTCCTTTGTACACGCAACAAAAAAATAACTAAAAATTTTTAAATTTAATATGGGGGAAAAAATTTCTCAAAGACTAGATTGGATGGGGATGTAGGGTAGATCATAGAAATTTTGAAATGGTAAAATTATTATAGAATTAATAAAGAATATAGAAATTGTCTAATTTTTTTTTTTTTGAAATAAAAACATCATCATTAAATTTGTGTGATTCTAGACTATAATAATTATTCTAGATTACAAATTATGTAGTTATAATTGTTTGTACGGTATGAATTTTATTTGGAAGTTAGAATCAAATTAAATTACATAATTGAATGACGAAAAAAAAAAAAATGATTGTATATAGAAAGATAAAATGCCCAACATTAACCCGGTAACTATAAAATTAAGATTGAAACAAATTTTCAAGCTTACAACTTTTTATCACAGCAATGCGCGATTTAATTATATTCTTGTAATTCGAGCCCAAAACAAAAAATAACAAAAAAAAAACAAAAATGCGATTTCAAATTCTTGGAAATATTTAAAATTTTCAATTTCTTTAATATTTTACATGCAATGTATAGATTCTAAAGGCTGGACTTGAACTAAATCTAGATTTGTACTAGAATCAAATATTACTGAAATTTGTTCTTTTTTGTTTTAAGTTGTTGGGGAAAAATTATTAAATTGAAAATAAAAAAAATATTATTAAGAGTAAAGTAATAATTACAAAAAAAAAATAGTTATTTTCTAAATATTTTGAGTTTTTTAACAAATTAAAAAATTTCAGAGATGAATATTGTTATTTGGCATTGATAACGAAGATGATGAATTACAAAATAGCGATTCTTCAAAATCCAAACTTATTTCTATCAATACAAAATAACAAAAATTCATCTTAACAAAAATAAATTTTTGAGAATTTCAGTTTTTCTTCCTATCCTTGAATTTCTTTTAAATAATCTCTATAAAATATATAGAAGGTATTTAAGGTATGAAGAAGAAAATTAATGGGTTTAAATTAAGTGAATTTATAATTTTTTTTTTTAATTTTTAATTTTTCCTTCTATTTTGAATTTAATTTGTTTTTTTTTTCTTTATGTATTAAATTTACTTTTTACACAATATAAAATTATTAAAATAATTACAAAAAAAAAAAAAATATTTTTTTTTTTTAATTTTTATTTAATTATATATGAAAATTTTATTTATATATTTGTTTTTAGATTATATTTATTGTATTAAAAAAAAAAAACAAAAAAAAAAGAAAACAATTTAAATTAATATTATTTTTGAATTTTTCTCTGTGTAATTTCTAGATCATCCTTTCTATAATTGAAAGGATTACCCGTATTCGTTCTACTATTTTCTGTTGTTGTATGTGATGATGATGTTGATGTCGTTTCTGGTAGTGATGTTTGCTTATATGATATTCCATTAGTATAATGACCATTCATACTAATGTGACCATTTGTTGTTGTTGTTGTTTCTTGAATTGCATGTCCATTTGTTTTAACACCATTTGAATCTACAATATGTCCATTTAATCCATTTGTTACTTTACCATTTTGGTAACCGTTTAATGTTCCATTTTGTTGTGCTTTTGCTCTTTCAGCTAATTGTTTTTTCTAAAATGAAAATAATAATAAAAAAAATTTTTAATTACATTAAATTTATTATACAATAAAAAGTATTTAAGATTTTTGTGCTTTTTAATATTTTTTATATAATTGTCATTCTGTTAATAACGAAATAGTTCACAATATTGTAAACCCAATCTCGTTACAAAACAAATATTTTTTCAGTTTTTTTATTTTTAATTTAAATCATACATGTCTGTAGCCACTAGCTACATTACTAGCCGTATGCCACAATTTTACTTCGAAGAGTGAAGAACTTTTAGCTGATAAAGCTTAATTGATTTTAATCAAATTCAAGTTTTTACAAGAAAAATATTTTGGCAAAATTGTGTCCTTCAATAAAAGCTATTTTATAAAAATTTGTTTTCAATTCGTATAAGTGTATTGTAGCTTAGCAATCACAATATTTTGTTGTCATCAATATTTTGTAAAGACCATTTGAAACTTCCTGACTAATATTCCGAATTTTACATTTTTAAATTCATGGCTTTAAAAATAATTTGTTATTGCATATTGTGTGAAGAAAACAAAAATAATATTTTTGCAGTACAAAAATATTTTTATTAACACCTATGAATTTAAGCAAGAAATTTCACAGTTTCTTCGAAATCTTCAAGAGCAACACATTTCATTTAGACAACTTCCTATATAATAATACAATACACAATACCAAAAAATTGTGAACAGAAATTTTATAATTGAAACGTTTAGACTGTCAAAGCTGTTCACATTTATTAAATTAAATCAAAAGTGATTCTTAAACGATAAAAATTTCCGTTCCAAATATGTTCAAGATAAAAACATTAATTTAATTTAATTTATTTTTTTTTTTAACAAAAGACCTGCAGGAATTCTAAATCAGTCTATAGAGTAAGGGTAAGTAGGAACGCAATTTTTAGTTTTGCAACTGTTTGATTGCTTATTTGTATATCATTAAATATCAAGCTCGTACACATGCAACTGTATGATCGCATGCAATTAAGCAATCAAACATTTTGTAATTTTTTTATAAACTGATTTAAAAATTGTAATTTCAAACAGTTCAGTTGCTTCAGTGTGCCGTGTGCTAATAATTAATTTGCAATCAAATTATTGCCAGATTTCTAATACTAGAATTTTATTAAATTACACAAAATGAGTATAAAATTGAAAAACATTTCAAATTCAATATTGTGGGCATTATATTGGGAATTAAGCTTTTAAATCCAGTTTCTGCCCTTAAAAACTAATTCTAACAATATCAATGCATCAAAAAATAAATATGGTGAATTTTTTTATCAATAAATTAATTTCAATATTTTTAACTTAACTGTGATGATAACATTTAGAGGTGATTCATTTATCAATAAAGTCAAAATCAATCAATCATAATCAGGGTATCATCATTAGTTTTCATCATCATTATTTCTTGGCACGCGACAAAACTGCATTCAATTTGGACTTTTACAATGACATTTAAAAAATATTTCTTACTTTTATGATTTTTTTTTATTTTTACTGTGTTGCATATATGTATATGTTGGTGATTTTATATATGGAGGTGAATATAGGAGAAAATATTGTGAATGATATTTTGACATTTTCATGTCAAAAACTAATAAAATTTGGAAGCGAAAAATTCTCACGATATTGACGTTAACTTTTTTATATATTTGTTTTTCTTTTTTTTTTTTAATTTCATTTTCAATAGTAAAACGGTTAATGTTTTTCCGTTTTTTCCCTATACGAGTACAACATTAAATTTCTTTTTATTAGATTTAATGGAGAAAAAACCGGTATTTTTTTTTCCTGTAATATTTTTCAATATTGCCAATTAAATTAAATAGCGTTTAATATTACATTTATTATATTATTATTTATTTTTATAAAAAAATGTGAAAAAAAATATTTAAATCAATTCTTTAAAGTTTGTTCGATGCCATTTAATTTTGACGCTTAAATTATTGGGGATGACTTTGTTTTTGGTCATTTTTATGGTGATTGGTTTTTGGTAGCGACATTTGATGTCACTTATATGTAACACTCTGTCAAACCTCAATTACCCTATTACGTATTTCAATACAGAATTATTCTGACATTATAATAAGTGCAAATATAAATATTTTTAATTTTTTTAAATAAATACAAAAGTTTAAGTCACAATGACCTTTTATTTTTTATATTTTGAATTGTTTACTATTTTACGAGTAGGTATATAATAATTTCTATTAAAATGTACGTACATAAATGGTGTTGTATGTGTGTATGTCTCAACAGATTGGTGTCTGATTAATGTTAATCAATATAGCGTGTAGAATATCCGTGTCTCAGTGTCTTATAAATATTGTAAATATCCGTGTTAAGGTGATTTTTTTCTATATAAATTTTATTATTATTTTATTTTAAAATTTATGTTTTTCGATTACGTCAATAATAACACTAAAATTCTATGCATTAAACGCAACGTTCAAAGGTGTAAATTAAAATATTTTTTTTTTGTTTCTGGTGATTTGCACATAACATTTCGACTTATTTACCTGTTTTTCTACAAAGTGATTGTAAACAATTAAACTAGAGAATTTTATTCTAGTACAAAAGTCAATTTTTTTTTTTATTAAAAAAATGATTATTAAATAAAAAATTATGCGTGAACTCTGCAACTTGTCAATATTTTTAGAATATTTTGAAGACTTCATTTTATGGGTATTTTTACGAATTTTTCGGGGTTTAAATTATTATATTTTTTTTCCAAAATCAGTTAGCACTTTGGAATATTTATGGAAGATTACTTCTTTGATGAAGCATAAAGAGTCTAACTAAATGTCTAGGATTCCGTTGAACATTATGAAAACTTAACTACAAAATTTAATATTAAATTTATGAAAAAAACTACAGGTTGCGTTTTACATATCAGACTGAAATCGTTTAATGGATTTCAAGCTTTACGTCAAAATTCAATGATTTTTCTGCAAAAATTGTAACTAAAATAAAAATCAGCTGATCGCTGCTCAAAACTCGCTAACTAAAAAATAATTAATTATTAAAAAATAAATCTAATGGGAATAGAGTATTTTCTATATTATTTTTTGTTAGACAAAGCTTAATGTCAAACAGTGTTAACATATATTCTTAGATTTTGTCGTACAAGAACAAAATTTTTTAAAGAAAAAATATTTAAAATATAAAAAATGTAAAATATAAAATGTTTTGTGCAAATGAGAGAATAAGTTCAATCTCTCTAATTTGGAAATTCATCTGTTCTTGAATTATTTGTGAAAAGAATAAAAAATAAAGTCTCTTTTCAAAATTTCAATGTACCTTGATTGCATTTAAGTTTAAGATGAAGTTCGAAATCAATAGATTAGTTAACTTTGAACCTAATTAACCCGAAATACAAATTTTAGACTTAACAAGCTTTTTTTTTTAATTATAACCATTGAATTATAATTTCATTCATATTACAGAATCTGATTGTTATTATTAATATTAGATTTTTGTTAAATATACTCACATTTTCGGCTTCTTTCGCTAACTGCAATTTTAATAGTCTCTAAATAAACAAGAGTAGGAGACGTTTTAATTATGTATATTTCCAATTGATCAGATTTTAATTTTTTGTTAAAAAAATTAATATTAAATATTAAATTCAAATTTAGTAACATAATTAAATTTTATTTAGTTTATAATATGTGTATTAGATTTTTAATATTATTAACACATAACGTTCCATATATCTAGTTAATAAACTAGGCGACGCCATAAATTCTGTAGATTTAAATAAGTATTTTAAAATTTATGCGGAACATATAGATATTTTGTTATTACATGACACAAATACATATGTACATATTGTGTATGTATGCAAATTGCAATTGTATTTATGGTAATTAGTAACACATATTAATTATTGCTGGGTTTATATTTTAAAATACAAGAAATTTAAGGACAATATTGTAAAATCTTTTTGGACTTTTAAGTTGAAATATTAATGGGATCTTATGAATTAAATTTACCTAACATTTACAATATGCTGTTAAATGAACTGCAACAATATTAAAATTTTTCATGTTATTGATTTTTTAAACAAATTAATTTTATAACAATTTAACAGTGCAGTTATTTAGAATTTCTATACGAATAATAAATTTTCGGAGGAATGAGTTGGAATAAAACGGTAAAAGGATATTGAATTATCTTTGTAAGGTACAAACCATTATTGTAAGGGACTTGAGATATTCATAAGTAATATTCATAAAAATCAAAGTAATTTTTTTATTCAGAACTTAACATAAAATCCATGCCACCAATAATAATTATAAAAACCAATTTTCCACATTAATTCTCACATAAATTTTACAAAAATAAATCAATATTATATAAACATACATACATACATACATACATATGTACAATAAATTCACATTTAATTTATGTCAATTTCCTTTCACATACACACAGATGCAATAGGTATACTTGCATTTCATGGTTTATGAATGAAACCTCATTTTGTACAACACACACAATTTAATTTAGATATTTAAGACCATAGTGCACAACTATATGCATAACGACATGATAATACTTGAATTCAACTTTTATTTTTTCGTTTCTGATGTTAAAAGAAATACATATATCGAAAACCTATAGCAATTCTACTTGCACCCTGAGTTTTTTGTTCAAATATTGTACTAGAATTCCACTCTCAGGCTTAGTTTTCGTGCGAGATTTTACTTAAAACCTTACATGGAGTTGATTTTTCTAAGATCTGGCAAATTTTTAGAAATTGCATGTGTCACGCAAGTAAAAATCTTTTTAGAGTTGAAATCGCAATAAACAACGGTATGCCGATTATTGAAAATTCAATTTCGAAAACCTTATCGTTTAGAACCCCATTCACCCGAAAACACAAATGAGAGCAGTTTAATTAATAATGAACATAAAAAAGAAAAAATATATAAAGAGCAATAAAAGGGCAATAAACTTTGTGATTGACAACCGCAACTTATTTAAATAGTTATTTTAATTTTCGTTCTTCAAAAAAAAAAACTATTAAAATCTAAGCAAATTAGGAGTGAGTTTCAAAGAGGAATAAAGAAAAAAATTCGAATATTAATCAAAAAATACAATGAAAAGACACTTTTGAATCATTCATTAGCAAATTTTCTGTTCTTGCTAACCGCAACTATACTTAAAATAAATACGTTCTTTTATTGTTCAAAAATCAGTCATTACATTGCGGTCCGCATTTTTATGATTATTAATGTATGCATTTAGCGAATTGAAAACTCATTATGAATTTATAATTTAAAAATTAAATATTTAATTTAAAATAAAGAAAAAAACATAGAAAAAGAAATGAGGAATGTAAGACAAGGAGAGCGAAAAGAACGAAAAAGTAACAGGAAGAAATTATAAAATTTTTTTTAAAGTTTTTTATTAACAATTTTATTTCTTTAGGCTTAATAACATTATAAACACTAAGTCGAGCTCTTAAGTCATTAAAATTCTAAATTAACCGCCTGACATGCACTTAAATTGTGGAGTGTGATTTGCTTTATCCTATCTTTTTATATCTTATATCTCAGATAATACAATGGACTACAACTTTTCGACAGCCATTAACATTATTTAACGCCATCACTGCCAAACGCTATTGGATAATAAGAGCTTGCTTTAATGAAATTGTTAAAGCAGAGAATAACTTAAATTAGGCCGGTTTACCAGGAATTCGGACTAGTTGTAACGGAGATGAAAATGGCATATCCTCGGTTCATCCATCACAACTGAAGGGGAAAGGGGAGATAAGGCGGTACAACATCAAACCTAAATGGCCTAAATATACCCTTTGGGTGGTCGCGTTAACCTAAGCAAACCTACAGTAGATCGAACAAAGTCAAAAAATCATAAATTTTTTTTTTGCAAACGTTGCCTTAAGTTATGAGTAATTATAAAGTATAATTATAGTAAAATATCGTAAGATTCAAGCAACTCTTATATTGAAAATCAGTATTTAGAAGTATATTGCAACCTGTCTAGTGGTGTACAGTATGATTATTTTGTTCGAATGAAGAAACCACAGTACAAATGAAGAATGCACACTGATTGAAAAAATGTCAAACAACAGTGCTTAACCTATAATTTTATAACCTATAATATTATTCAGAACATCCTAATTTGACCTATCAACAGCTTTCAAAATTATTAAATTTTAAAAAACATTATTGAAGATTATAACATTTGCCCCTTACTTTTTGTAAAATTTCCTCTAGCATTTTATATTCCTATATGTTGTCCAACAATTTTTATTTATATTTACAAATTTAAATCATAAGTAATGACAGTTAAAATGCAATAAGTGACTAATATATTCACATATTTATGGTATATACTCGTACATGTTTGTTGTACAAACAGGGAAATCACCTAAAGCAAAAGTTATGTATAAAAACCATAGATACAAACATATACTTGTACATAGTGCAATCAATAAAGAAATTAAAAGAAAATTTTTTATGTTTACCTTGTTCGAAATTATTTTTTTTTTTTGATTTTGTTATTTAAGAAAATGAATTGTAATCGAAATTGTAAAATATTCAATTGCAGGGGTGGATAGATTTTAATTTCTTCTACATATATGTACTCATGTATATATATGTTTGTATCTATACATATTGTAATATTCTCTGGAGGGTTTTTCAAAGAATAAATTCAAAGAACATGAATTTTATTTTTTCATTAATGTTAATAATTCACGTATATGAAATTACCATCAAATTTACATTATAAAAAAATATCGTGATTCACTTGATATTTTATAATATTCGTAAATGGAGAAAAAAAGCAGAATAATAGTTAAATGCACCTTATATAGACGATCGATTTTTGCCCCCTTTTCCCTAAACTATTAACTAAAATTTAAATTTTAATATTAAAGATTGCAATATTAAAGTATAAAAAATTTTATATTGCATTTTCATGTAGGCATGTGAAAAGTTTTAATATGTGCACATGCATATTATGAATTAATATATTGGAATATGTTTGTATATATGTATGTATATATTAGAAGTAGAGAGGTGGAAAAATTAATGAAATCTTAAAATGTTTTTTATTTACTTACTACAATACTGGCATGATTTGAAATTCTATTTAGACATATTGTAGATATTTACATAACATTAAAAATGTGTGTGTATAATTTGTGCCTCAAACGATTGAAAATTTATATGCTATTTTAGAAACTTAGAATTTCAGACATTTATATTTAATTAGAATCGATTGTTTCTAATTAAAAATTAAAATTAAAAATTTCTCAAATTATACTTTTAAAATTTTTCCTGACTCAAATCTCAATATGTCATTCCAGATTTAGGCTAATATTGTAACTCTTGTTATAAAGCGTTTAAAATGAATTTGAAACTAAAATTATTGAATACATAAACACACAAATTAAAAACTTATAATTTTAATTAATTTTCTATTGATTTTATTCTTACTTTATTCATTTACTAAAAAAGGCGGGAAAATATAGTTACTCCAACTTTAATAAAACAACACATTTTTCTTTAATAAATCATAATCTGGCACCTCTGTAATGTTAGTCGTATGAATTAAAACGAATTTATTCAATTAATTTATTGCATAGGTTTAGGAGGAGTTTTGATAGATCGTTATCGAGTTGCTTTGTAGGAAAAAAACTGCATCGAAAATTACTGGTCAACCGGTTTAAGACAACGGTTTAAACTGTCAATTCATATACGCTAACAATAAGTGAAATTGTTATAGTGAAAAACTAAAATTTAAAAACCCCATACGAAAAGTTTGAAATAAATTTATTATAGTTTTCATATTCAGCACCATAGTATACTTATGTCATTTTTATATTAAATTTCGCATGTTCGTCTATCCATTCGATTGAAAGATAACCCTAAAACGAAAAAAGCAAACAAATCTTCACGAAGCTGAAAGCCAAGCATGAAGCTTGACAGTCATATGACAAACTATAGAGGTTTAACAGGTTCGGGTAGCTAAATTTTAAAAAATTTCAAATATTAGGTTCTATTGCCTGATTACGTCATTGTACAGGGTGTACTTCAGCCTATTAACATCGGCTCAAACGTTAACTTTTATTTAATTAATTTTGTATTTTTAATAATTATTCACCCACACTCTTTTCCTTGTTTACAACTACATACATACATGTTAACTACAATTTTGTAATAATATTTTTCTCTCTTTTACACAGTGTATTGCTTCTCAATTGTTTTTTCATTTAATTTCAAACATAACTTCAATTCAATCATATAGAATTTTTTTTTTTTAATAATACCAAATTATAATTGAAAGGTGATGATATACAAAAATGATTATTGATATTGATAATGATTAAATGATAACATTAATAAATTGTTTATATTGGTAGGTATTTGGTATTCAACAAATTCAATATTAGACAATGTGTAATTGAAAAAAAAGCAAAAACAAATTATGAATAAAAAAATTGATTGATGTGGAAATTCGTATGAATTTTTTAATTCATTTTGAGTTGTAAAACTTTGTTATAGTGTCGAAAAAAGATATCGCTGATATATACAAATGTATATGTATATGTAATTAATTTTTGGAACCGGCATATTAAGTGTGCGTGTAAGTTCGAATGGTAGTCATTATGATAAAAATATTATGTTATTAAGCTCCCCCTTTTATAAAATTAATTTTAAGTAGACAGGCGTACAAATGTTTGTATGTATGTACTTAAACATTCGACGGATTAATTATCTCTCTTCAACGCTTTGGATTTTTTTTTCATATAGAGGCACATGTAGAATTAATTTTACATTGCTTATGTCTTGTTAACACGGCGATCACTTTTGTTTCTTGGATTTACATAAAAATATTAAAATTATTATTTAATTATTAATTTCTTATTTTTGTATTAAAAAAATAATAATAATGAATTTTAAGTTATTAATGATGGTGCAATCAATATGGTCGTTGTAATTTACTGCATAATAAATTATTTTTCGTCTTGTTTTATAAAAATTTTTTATGTAATTTTTATAACCTCGGGGCGTCTTGTGCGTTCATATACAAATGTGTATTAATTAATGATAATTTTTTACAATGTTGCATGATAATTTTATTTAATTAAACTAATTAATTAAAAAAATAATTTGTACCATAATATTTTAGTTTTGTTTTTCGTTTTAAATTACTGGATGTGATTTCTTAAATTCAGTCTGCACAATATCACGTGTATTCACAAATATTTGCAATATTCAAGGCTCAAGTATCCGTTTTTTGATAAGTAGAATTGTTAATTTTCAAACCACAAAAATTAATTTAGATTATTGAATCATTTGAATTTTAAGTCACGTTTGTTTGCATCTTATGGTCATCAATATCTCATTATAATATTTCTTCCTAAATGATACCTACAATATTATTTCTAAACTGGGACTAAATTTAATCTCACGTTTATTTCCTCTTAATTTTCTAATCGAACAAAATGTTCACGTGCACCGTATATTTTTTCTGATTCCAATATGGGATTAATGTAAAATGAGTAAACAAATTTTACATTTTCTGTTCACACCAGCTGTTTTAGATATTCTTTAAAACAAATTTAGACAAAACCTGAACAATTTTTAAAATATAAGTACATTTTCCGTAACACAAGATTTTGTTAAATATAATTTAGTATAAATTAATTAATTAAATCTTATTTAAAAAACTTACACCATATAACATTTATAATAACTGTTATATATATATAACAAATTTTTGTATGAGATTGGATTAATTATAAATTGTTTTATGTTTTTCATACAATTTCCGTCATTTGAATTTCATTGTAAATTAAACAAAAAATTTATAATAAAATTTCAAATTACTTACCCTTAATTCTCTACTCTTGTATGTATCTTTGTAGAATTGATTAAATAAGAAGAAGAACATAACAGCGTGCATACCAATCCACCAAACAAATGCCTTTGGATAATCGCAATCAATGAAAAGTAATTGGAATGCATGAACCATAATTAAAACAAATTGAACCTATATATGAGACGAAAATGGATTAAGATAATTTTCTTTAATAAATTTGCTTATTTAATTTAAATTATATAAATAAATAAATTTAATAAATAATTAGTTGTATAGGAACAAAAATATATGCTTACCATTTGAAGGGCAGTTAAATATTTTTTCCACCATAAATATTTTTGATATTGTGGGCCCATAGCGGCAAATAAATAATATGTATACATAATAATATGAACAAATGTATTTAATAAACCAAAGAATGTACTGTGACCACCTAAAAATTAAAATAATTATTTTGTATTTTAGTATCGTGCGCGTATTAAAACAAAAATTGCAAAATAAGCATAAAATAAATGAATTTTGTTTTTTTTTTTTCATTTTAATTGAAAAAAAAAGTTTTATATTTAAACCGCATCATAAAAGCGGTTCCATTTTTCCACACATAATTTGTGTGGTGTAAGCAAAATTTTTTGGCAAATAATTATATACAAATAAATAAATAACCTTGACCTAAATTATACAATTTAAATAATATTTTAAATATGTTTGTACATCATACTTATATACGCAAAATACATTAACCCGCAGCTACCAAATTTAACACGAAAATTTAATTGAATATTAAGTTTATGTTAAGTAGATGTTGCATATAAAGTAGAAACGGAATATAGATCATGTCAACTTTGTGGTATCAATTATAATATATGAATTTCGCAGTTATAAAACAGCTTCTATAGAAATCAATACAATTTCGGCTATACCCTGGCTTTTCAGTAGTGTGTAACAAATTATGTTATTAAACAGTTTGTGTTAAGTTTTAGCACTGTGACATAGTTTTTGAAATAAAATAGCTGTGATTAAATTATTTTGAAATTTCAAACGTAGTTGTAAAGCAACCCAATTATACGAAACCCGTTTATTTGTGAATTTTTGATCCTATTCGACTGTATACATATAATTTTCTGGAATAATATAATTAGGAATGAAAACTGATACAACTGATCCTACAATCTCAAGTCATGATGCGCAAAATCGTCGTAGCTTCAACATCGTAGATTTGTGCTTTTTCAATACTCAAATGAATTGCTCTTTAGCAAATATGATCGCCATAGTAGTTGACCGGACAACCATGAATAAATCGTCTAAGAATCGAATTCAACGTTTACGAAAAATATGTGTATGCTTCTAAACGTAGTAATGAATTTGTAATACACTATACGAAAATAACTTTAACGGTATAATGAGTTTTAATTTTTGAAATGTCATCTCGAGTTTATTAATTTAAATGATTTTTAAGCTGAAAAGCTGATTACATACATACACACCCATTATGTAACACATAATTTCGGACTAATCAAATATTTATAATTATATGTACTTAAAATTCTTATGTCAGAAAATTATTCACAAAAACGTGTACTTAAACAATGAAATATTAAGTTAGGTTAAGAAATCTCTTATTGTCTAGGTATACATAAAAATTTGCGGTAAAAACAACATTCATTTCGCGCCCAAAAATTTCGTACTTTTAAAAAGAATAGTGTTGTTTGTAAAAAAAAATAATTATATACGAGTACAATTTACTAAAGAGGGAAAAATGAAAATATTCTTTACACATTTAAATCAAATTATAGTTTAGTGTTTATGTAATTACAAATTATAGCAATTTCGCAATTCATCAGAGTAGTTTTCTGATGATGTAGTAAAATGATAATTAAGGTTTTTTGTCGATTACCACAGAATATTGTGATTTAATATCATCATCAAATATATAATTATAGGTATTATTTTAAAGCTCATTATGAGATCATTATTTCATTCCTACAATCTTTAATATTTAGTTTAAAAATAAAAACCACAATATCACACTTTTCGATATAAAATATGATACAATAAATGTTGACCCAAATTATCATTTGATTCCGAAACCGAAAGTAATATAAAATATTAAATTAATTAGTATTAACAGACTGTTTAGCAAATCCGGATAATTTTTAGAAATATTAATAAATCAATAAATCACGTTGACTTTACAACTACTAGTTTTAATGGTAGCCATTTTACTGTATTTATAATTAGGTATTAAATTTATTAACTTTAATGCAATAGTTTTACAATAATATTGTTAAATATTGTAAAAAAAATATTTTCGTATTGATTCCACCATTTAAATTTAACAATTTTGATCTTGTCATTTTGACGCTTTTCAATTATAGTTATTCTTATTAAATTCTTATTATAATATATTAGTCTTATAACAAATAGGAACACTTAAAATTAGTCTCTTAAATTAGTCTTAAAAATAGGAACACTATTTTTTTAAAATATTACCTGGTGTAAATTTTACTCCAAACCATACGGACATTGGCATACAACCATGATGAATTACATGTAATGTTGAAACTTGACTAGTTTTCTTACGTAGCACGAAAAAAATCTGTGAATTTAAAATACAAATATAGTAATGCTTTCTACAATTCCCTTGTTAGGGTTAACATTTTTAAAAATCTTCAAATATCATTGTCAACTTACCGTGTCAAAGAATTCAGTGAATTTAGAAAAATAGTACCACCAAGAAGCGTTTACCATCTGTTTTATTACATTTTTATTATTTTATTTAATTAAATAAAATAAAGTGGAGAGAAAAAAATATTTCATATTAAAACATTTCTTTAATAAAATTTTATTATATTTAAAAATTTTAAAAGGAAAAAAACACAACAATTAAAACAAAAAACTAAAATTATTAATTTCTAAAAAAAAAAAAAAATTTTTTTATTAATTTACAAACATTTTCGACAACAAAATGTAAAATCTAATAATTGAAAAAATGAGAAAAAAAAATATGAGAAACAAAGTGCAGCTATCGAAAAATTTATATGCTCTTATTTGAATTTAAATACGCTCTTATATGCAAATCATAAAACACACAAAAAGACTTTACACTACACACAAAAAATGACATTTAATATACATTAACCATATTGTGGCCCAGTACACGAAATTGGTGCGAAATATTATGCCGATAAATTATTTAATTATTAAAGTAATGCAAATTTTTTTTTCTTAAAATTAATAAAATTACAATACTAAATACAATATTACTTTTTTTATAGACCTTCTTTATTAAGTGAACATGAAAACAATTCTAAAATAGCTTCTATACTATTTATAATGCTTAACGACGTAAATTTTTATTTTTAGTACTCTCAAAATGTTGGTAATAAAATTTATTATTATTGTGTGAGAACACCATTCAATTATTTTTATTAATTTAATTGCTATTGCCATATAGCTCCACTTATTTAAATTTTCCGTCAAAAATTAATCTCAATGTAATTCGGGAACAATATGAGATTTCTAAAATTTCGACTTGAAATTAATGATCGTGAGTAAATAATCAATGAATGATAATTACTTAATTATTGGATTTATAATTACAATAATTATTGTAATCAATGTAGTGATAATTAAAATTTTGATTTTATGTGAAATTCTAAAACGATGAAAACATCTAAATTCTAAATTATCATAAAATAACATGGAAATTTACCTTATAATTAACCATACCTAATTTAAATTTCTATATAGGAATTAGTTCCTGACTAAATTATTAATCCTAAATGTACAATACTTTTAATTATATCTCATGTTAATTTCTATGGAAATGTTAATATTATACAGTAAGAATTGTTATACTATGAACTAATTCTAGAAATACTTGCTCTTAGAATATTATTTTCTTTAATTAAATTAACTCTACAATATTAGACTATTTTTACACTATAAATTTTTGGGAATAATTTTAGTTAACCAATTATATAATAATACATAATTATAAAAATTTGTTATTTACAAAACATAAAATGCACAAAATTAAGCAAATGATTAAATAAAACAAAAAAAAATTATTATTTTTTTTTATTAATAGATTATTTGATTTTTATTTTCATTTTTTTTTTTACCACATACTCTTAAAGTTCTAGGGTGATTATTATATTCAACGGGCTGACATCGAAAATTATAGTGTCCCGTAAACCAGCCAGACATACCAATCTGTAAGTAAGTTCAAAGTATTTCTTGTTTTTGTTTTTTTTTCTTTATTTTTTTTTCTAGATTAAAAAGTCAAAATCAGTGCTGTATAATGCAGTAAAATAAATGCGTAGAGATCATTTGCATTATTACGATGATTTTTCATTCCATATTTAATATTCAAATACTTGCTATACATATATGTACATACGAGTATATTAAATTTATTTCATTAGTGGAGGGGGAACCCATATTTCATCATGACATCTTAAAAATTGAATTTCTTTTAAATTCAAAAGTACCTAAAGTCACAAAAAAAAAATAATCATATCAATTTATTACCAATATTCTTTTATCCCTTAATTAATATAGCAAGTTGACAAATCCATGTAATGCCAATAAAATTTTCTTAAATGCACATAAACTGTTTAAAACGCTATCTGACGGGATTATAATAATATTAGTAATTCATTGATCAATTAAAAATTTACAGACCATAATTTTGTTTGATCAACATTATTGAATATTATGAGGTCTCCTTTGTCCTAATAGGTGGGAACCATCAATTGCATGTATTTTTAACTAACATATTTTCTTGTAAATTTTACATTGTGTTTGCATTTATAATAAAAAATATTATTAAATAATTTTGCAAATGATCTTTTATTAAATTATTATAAAAAAATTTTTATTCCAACACTTACTACGGGGTAAGTGAGAACTGTTATATAAATTTTGGATCTTTCAAAAAATATTTCGATTTGTGATTTAATTTTTTTTTGTAGAATATGAAATTTTTATTCAAATGAAAAAATTTTATTTATTTATTTATATAAAATTAAATTAAGGAAATTTTAAAAAATGGATCTTAATCTAAATGGAAAAAGAAGAGAACAATAATTATTTTAATTTTTTATGAAAATTCTTAATTGTAAAATAATTTTCATAAAATCTTTCTTTTTGTATTTTGATTGTCAAATTGAATTTTTATTACTTTATTATAAAGTATTGTTTCTGTCACATTTTGTTTTGGTTTTGTACTTAACGTATAACAGTATTATAATATTTTTATATCTTTTATTAAAATGTCATAAAGTAAAATTAAAATATTCAAAATGTCAAAGTATACAGAAGCAAATAAAATTTTAACAATATTATACAAACATATATGTATGTACAATATGCTTATACTAGTGTCAAAATTATTAATTAATATTTAAAATTTTAATATTTTTCAATTTATTTTAATTTGATCTATAAATAATAAATATAATATTTTTTATTTTAAAATTCATTTCAATTAAAATTTAAACCATTTAAAAGAAACCATTTTTTGTGAAAAAAAGGATCAATTTCAATATTAATGGTATATATGTAAGTGTTGTTGTTTAAAGTTATAACTGTTGTTTATTATGATTGTATTTGAATGTTATTAAATAAAGAAGTGTCATTATTTTTGGTATTTTGGAAAAATGTCAAAATATTTTGTATGTAAGCAATATTTTTTATGTTTTATTCTGTTTTATTTTCTACAATGTTTTTTTTTTAATGTTTATAATTAATTATTTTGTAAACAAAATAGTACATTACATAATGTCATGTTTTTATGTATTTAAATATGTAAGTATATATTTGATTTATGTACTATTTTCTAAAATTATGGTGTATATAAATTTATTATGATGTATATATATGTATGTATTATGTATGATATAAAAAAAAATTTGTTGTGTAAAATAAAATAGATCCCCAATACCACTGGTATATTTAAAATAAAATTGAAAACATAATTTTATATAAAATATTAAAAATTAGATATAAAAAAAAAATAAATTTAAAATAGAATAAAAATAAATAATAATTATTATTTTATATAGAATTAATTAAGGAACCTAGGTCTTTTACTAGGTTTGATATTTTTTTTGATGAGGCAGATACAAGTGCTTTTATTATTTATTTTCCGTAATTAATATTAAAATTTATTTTATTCCTTTCCTTGCCTTATTAAAAATAATTCTTATGAGTATATAGGAAATAGAAATAAAAAAAAATCTTTTAAAAAACCTGTACTATAATCAGAGTTAACAATGGCAGAGATTTTTACAGGCGACGAAAAGTTTATAAAAAAATTTCAAATTCCTGAGTTGTGATATGTTGTGAGTATTTTAAAGTAATAATAATTATTTAATTCGTTATGTGAGAGCAAACTCAATATGAATACGACACAAAATTTTTGGAGACATAATTTTGTTCAGATCTTAGGAGCTATTAGGAATACGAATTTATTCAGTCTTGGGAATATTAACAGAAAAAATAATTTTGATTACTGGTCCTTATGAGTGCCATTTTAAACATTCCTAAATATTATATAGGTGAAAAATTTCAATGTTCGAAAACCTTACAAAAAATGAAGTGCATTTTTGTTCACAGTCGTGAAAAATTTGTCATTAAATTGACTTTTTTAATTATTTATCAATTTTCCATATGGAAAAATGATAAATAATGTTCCACTGAATGGCAACAGAGATTTGTGTTGTATGGTGAAGTACTCAATAATGTAATCGATAATTGTAATCATTATAACTAGTAAGTTTATTCAGGAAAATGAAATTTTTGCAGATTTCCTCTTATATTTTAAATAAATTAATTCGATAATATTTTGATTCCTGCATTTTTAATTGCTGCATTAAAATAATTACTTAAAATATAAATTTAATATTTGTTAATTTGTAAATTGAGAATCTAATGGAATCGAAGTTCGAATGATCTCTTTAGATCAATGTCAAATAATATAAAGAGTTGCTGACTATACATTGAAAACAGTAAATTATGCAAAATTCCCTATTTGAATTTAATTACTAACTACTTAAGAATTTTATTGGTCTTATTTAATGTAGGAAGGATATTTGCGTATAGCACTTACTATTATTGTCCTAGGACTGTTTGAATAGTCTACTGGTTGACATCTGAAGCTATAATGGCCCCACCAACCACCTCTTAGACACTATTTAAAATTTATTTCGTTTCGGTTTGATATAATTTTTTTTTGATTTTTTGATATTCGATTGTTTTTTATTCGATTTTTTTTTTGTTTTTTTGAAAAAAATTAAAAGAAAAAAAATGTGTTAAATGAAAAATGAATATTATATAAGAAAATTTTATAATAGTGTTTTGTTGCTCGTTTTCTTTTATGGAGTATATTAAAATACTTTTATATTATATTTCATTGCAATATAAGTATATAATGGTATATAAGCATTAATATATATGATATATGTATAAAATATAAATCACTATTTATAAAATATTTCTGGAAAAATCCTTAAATTATATTTGGTTCCTGAAATAAAAATCCTTTTTTTTTTCCACTGATTTTTTGTTTTTAATTAAATATAATCTTGGTTATAAAAAATTTCGGTGATTTTGTCCATAATTTAATGACTTACTTCATAAAATATCCATGCACTAAATATCACTTGGGCTAAATTATAAATAACTAATGTATGCTGCAGTTGGAATGGTTTTCGATTTTCCATTAACCGAGGCCCTAAAACCTAAAATGAAAAAAGAATTTAATATTTTTGTTAAATTTTTGTTTTGAATTTGAAATTATTGTAGATAAATTTGGTGTATAACAATTAAAATTGAGGAGAAACTTTATCCAAAAGCGGTTCTTATTGGAGTTCAATGGCTGCTTGCTAGACCGCTGCGATAATCAAATCCAAGAAAAATGAATTTAAGCGGGGACTGTCTTAAGAAATTTGCGAAGCTTTTATTAAATTAACATAATTTATTTTTAAAACATTTGTGTAAGAAACGGACGAGCGAACTGACATAACCAAATCGACTCAGAATTCGAAGTTCAGCAAAATAAACGGATATATGTTCGATCATCAGACCGTAATTTTTTAACCGTTTCAAATGGAATGGTAAGTATGTATTTCATTCTCTTCGAGTATTCGTATGGGTTCGAGTCCGAAATTGCCACTGTTTTAACCTCTATATTGAAATTACTGTAATAATTCCAGATATTAAAACAAAATTTGAAAATTTATTTGGAACACAAATATAACAATAATTCTCTCTGTTATACAATACAGTATTAAACTGAGGAGTGTTGTACATAATAAATTACTTGCTATATAACTGCGTATACTAAATACATGGTAATAAATTTTAAGAGACATCTTGTAAATTCTTGAGTAAACTATATATTCATTTCTCTTGAGAGTGATAGTATTGAACATATATATATATACATATATAAAATGCTATTGTTATATAGATAAAGAACAATTTATAATGTGGTTTTGCAATATTGAGTACAAAGTAATTAAAAAAGTAATGAATAATAAATCACCTGTGAAATGAGTATTGATTATAAAGTGACACCAAATTTAAAGCTTCTTTTATGTTTTTATTTAATTTTTTTTTTGTAAGTTTTTTAATTGTTTACGGAAATTAAACCTTTTCATTGATGTAGCCATATTTATACAGATGATTATAAATATATGTAGGCACATAATACATTTTTTGAAATTTTGCCAGATGTTTCAGAATTTTTTTTTGAAATATTGTATTAAAGCATAATATTTCACAAATTTTCTGCCGTTTGACAGTCGGCACTTAAGTTTTTTAGAATTTTGAAATTCTACTTATATTCGATAGTGGAATATTTATCTTTGATTTAGGGGGAGACCCTAAAGTTTTATTGCTCACAGCAACAACATTTGCCCATATCGAAACAATTTTTATGGATTATGTAATTAGTATTCTTTAACCATTACTCTTTTACTCTTTTTCTTTATTTTGTGTCACAAAATAGTTAAAATCCAGTGGGTCATACTATTTAGTTGTTTAATTTCAGCAGAATTCAATAATTTATGTTTAAGGCTTTATTTTCCCCAAATGAAAGTTATGTTTTGTACCAAACTATAGTTCTGAGAAATTATTAAACATAAAATTTGGGATATTGTGATTTTTATTATGAAATGAGAATGATAATGAAAGGAAATGAATAAATAATTGTAAATATTTACCTTCACAAAATAAACATATGTTAAACATACTGCTAATGTGGGGAAAGGTGACGACATCATTGGAAAATCTTTCGTCCGAGGATCTGAAATTTATTTTTAAAATGCGAATTAATGTAGGTAAACACAAAATATTTTATATAAAAGACTTATATATTACAGTTATACTCTAGTTACAAAAATAAATGATGCAAAATCAATTTTGAATTTCTTATTAAAAAATTTGATTTTTGTTGCTAACAGTAAGTTTTTATGTATACTGTAACAATTACTCAGTGAGTAATTGTATTTATAAAAAAAAAAATATCAGTTTTTGTTGGTGAAATCGGCTTAGTTGGATCATTTAACGTTACGTTACGTTGAGTAATTAAACAGCTGCATATGAAAATGCTGAGGGACTTGAAATAGGTCATATAAGAATATGACATGAAATAGGTCATATAAGAAATTACAGAAAAATTGCGGGGTTTTAGGACATAAAAAGCTGGCCAGCTGAGAAACCTAAACTTTTAGTTCATACAAAAATATCTATTTCATACAGAAAAATCCAATAATTCCAATAAAAATATGAAAAATCCTCTTATTCATAAATATCATATTCATGAATACTGATTTTCGATTGTAGGTCAAAAATCAAAAAAAAAAAATCTGTCAAGTGCATAAAAATTTCTTTCATCATCTATATTTCAGTTTACTTAACAAACATAATTTCCTCATTTTTTTGTAAGTTGAATGACAACTACATATTTTAATGAATAAAAACCAGCACAATCCCATGTTATTTACTAAACATTTATTATATAAGAGTGTTCACCTTTATTTTCAATTTCTTTAACCTTGATACACCTACCATAACGTTTTTTTAATTAAACACCCCCAGTTTCTGTTTTTTTTTTCGTTTTAAACTTGGTCTTATCACAAAAAATTTTTTTTTGTTTTTTAAATACCTATTTAAATACTAAGTCTATACGCAATGAATTTTAAAAAGGCAAAAAAAGTGGCATTTTTAAATACTAAGCGTATTTTAGATAAAAGCAAAACACCAAAAAATTTCAGCTGAAGTTCGTTGAAGAAAAAGTGAAACGAAGATTTGTTTTGTTAAAATCATGGACTGAAAACCGATAATACGAGTAAAGCAAAATTTTCAAAGTATAAGGGAAAAGAAAAAGACAAAAAAGCTTAAAAAATGTTAAGGCATAAGCAATAAATTTGTCTCAAATTATGCAATTATGTAATTTCGGAATTTTTATGACCTTCAAAGTGTTAAAATTGAATATTTTGTGAATAAGATTACTTAATAGTTTTTAATTATAAAAAGCTCCGTTATTTGATCAGGATTTTATAATTTAAATTGGGGACCGCTTAAAAATGTCTACATTATTGTCATAATATAATTTCAATTAAAAAAATAAAAAATTTGATATTCCAAATGTGAAAATCCGAATGAAGCGGTTCGAAAATTTTATTGCAATCACGAAACGTCATGAATACGCATACGCATCTTTATTGTCCACTGGAGAGATACTTCTTTAAATTAGGCTTAGAAAATCAGAACATCTAAATTTACAGGGGTTCTAAAGTGGCATAAGAGCCGGAGATGGTTAATTCCGATAAGATACTCATATTAAAAGTGTGATTTTTGGCAGAGCACTTTAATTCACATTTTTGGGACTAAGATTAGGGGGATGTGACAGTAAATCCTGTTCTACTTCGAAATGCATTGTCATCCCAATTTTAAATCTAGAATAATAATTACACTCATCTATTTTAATTCTCACTTTAATAAAAAAAATGTCTATATATAATTTCGGGTCAGTCACGTTTTTTTGAGTATAAATTGGGAACTTACGACTTTCTACATTTGACAGTAACGTACTAAAATATCATAGCAGCATACAAAATACAAAAAATGTCCTGATTATGTTATGATTTATTACATAAAAAAAGTTAAACAACTGATTCTTATAAGTAAACAGATCAAATCAAGATTTAAATTTTTAATAACACTTCATTGTCTGAAAAATCATAAAAGTACTATGTTATGTGTGTATAACTATATTTAAAGGGAATATTATGGCCTCTATAGAGTTGCGGCAATATTATTGTTAGATGTGTAAATAAAATAAGAAAATAAAAAATAAAATGACCCACCTAATTTCAATATCGAAAATAAAATTTACAAAAATAAATAACAAAATGCACAGTACGTACATATGTCAAATTGGTATAGAGTGGTGGAATCACTCACTTTCAATTCAATGAGATGTTAAAGTATTTTATGCCCACAAGTATAATATGTGAATGCATACTAATTATTTACAAATGTGTACACTAATTCAAAAAAAACTGTCACATCATCATCATCGTCACTTATGATTTGAAAAAATTTCATTCAGAAGATCTAAAAGCATTTCCCATTTCAACGATTATGAAATTTTTTTTTATTACTTATCAATCATTTTTACTTTTTTTCTCTTCATATGAATTTTTCATACGAAATAACGAAACCATTAAAACTGCGTTAATCAATAAAGTTGTGTTAAAGGTGATAAAAATTCAAATATTTGAGAAAAAAAAATTTAAACCAAGAAGTCATTTGTATTGTGTGATTTCTTTTAATAATGAATAATAAAATTTCAGTAAGTTCGTCTCAAATCAAAGGTTTGTAAAAGAGCATATTTTCCTACAACATAAACTATAAAACCCTCAGTAAGTTTGCGTTATTGAGGAGTAAAACATAAATTTTTAAAGGACCATTTAGGCGTTATTATATAATGTACTTATTACTCGTATTATACAGAAGGTTATTATAAATTTACCACTAGGAAATAGGAAGGAGTAAATTTTTTGATCACCGTCGAATTCTAAGTCAATTCAATAATACATTGCCGTCCGTCCAACCATCTGTCCTAGCGATATTTAAAAAACGAATTAGTTATCGGGGTAGGGGCTAGTTTTCACTGTACACTTAAGGTGTAAATATATTTGCATATTATAAAATTTTACCTTTCTGTCTGATAGAATATAAAAGTTTTATAAATTGTTATATTATGCGTACAGTGAGAAATTAGTAAACATTTTTTTTCTATCGGATTTTATTGTAAATATTTTTATTCAAGTCTTATGATTTAGTTTTCAAGACGAGAGTCTGCATTAATTAAACATTAAAATAAAATAAAATAAAAATAAAATAGGCATATTCCTCAAAAGTTAACTCTTTTCCATAAATTTTCTAAACATCTACGTAAAACCGTAAACACAGATTTTGGATTAAGAAAACGAACAGTAGCGGATCATGAAACTAATAATTGAAACCGGTTAAAACAAACATTGGTTGACTATGGCCAATTTTAACCCCAATTATTAAATTAACTACCTGAAGTAACAATAAATAATATAATTTTAGACATTCTCTTTTGAAACTTGAAAAAATAATTTCTTTGTTCAACAAGATTATTTTAATTTTCTGTAAGTAGGTCACTAAAATTGTTACTAAACAGATAATGCATAATAATTAAGATAATTATTTCAAGAAATTCAAAAAATTATTTAATAATTTGAATCATGCTAATCAAAATGCGAAATTTTGTATTCATTAGCGCGTAAAAATTAAATTTAATTTTAAATAAAATAAAATTAAATTGCATCATTGCAAAAAATTTTCATTACAAAGATTTGATATTTACACGCAGACAAACTGACTTTTTTTTTTGGCGTTTTTCGAAAAAACCGGTAAATTTGTAAGAAACCGTAGGCTAAAAATAAATAACAATAATATTGAAATGATTTAATCAGTTGGATTGGAATACGATTGGAATGTACATATATACATACATAAAAACACGCTGATTTCGCAAGAGTAGATCGCAAGTTACTATACCTATACTTGCATTAAAGTTCAATTGTTTTCTTCTTTGTGTATTCTTTAGTATTTAAAATACTTAATAAAAAAATTTAGTTTTAGTAAAATAAATAACGGAATCATCAAATAAGAATCATTCGATACTGAAAATTACAACCAATTCTAAGTATCTTTAAAGGGGATCATAATGATATTTGCTTTCTATTTAAAGGAATATAACAGTTTGGAATATTTTGAAGAAAACTCGAGTAGTTTATGAATTGAAACCTGATTTATGATGTTTTATTTTCCATACAAAATTAAAAAACAGCATCCACTGAAATAAATGTGCGAATTTACTAATCTTCCAGCCACTTGCTAACATATGTATGTTAAATGGGGGCTACATATTTTGAAGTGTTTTATGCTTGAATGGCAACACATTAAGAGTGTTACAGTACACAAACAGAGTACAGATATTATCATTTTAATATTTCCTGTAGCCGCTTCAAATTCGGTATAGATGTGTGTGTACATTCTTACTCAGCGTAAAATTTTGTGTTGATTTAGAAACGTTTTCACTTGTTTTACATGACATTCTATCACCAACTGAAAACTTCACTGAACTGTTGAAAAAAGGCCCTTAACTTCAAATGCTTTTTTGAAATAACAATATTTAAGTGATTTCATTTTGATTTACATAATTTCTGTATAAATTCTTTTAGAACTACCTTTTAGAACTCCTAACCTTTTCATACAAGTACACATATATATCTTCATTTGTTATATGTTACGAATAATCAATATTTTAATAAATTTACTCACCACCATATGAATCCATATATCTGTTAATACTATCAATGTATCTCATTATTAAGGCCATTTTGTATTATCTGAAATTATAAAGAAAATAAAAATGTTAATAGAATATTTTAAAAAAAAATGTAAACAAAATTTATTTATAATCTACAAATATATATAAACATTGTATAACAGTATGTACAAAGTATATAACATCAAAAGAAATAATTTACAAATTTCCATATTAATATTAAAATTTGATGATCTAAAAAAAAACCTCATTCAGCTGTCAATGTTAAATTATGCCTCTGAGTTTATACATACATACATATACAAATATATATACGATACGTATTTATAATAGTTATTTATTATAAATAAAAATAAAAATGAATTTATTGAAAGTTTTGTTTAAGTTTATTGAACTTTACTCTTGAATTCTTAATGTACGTGGTTATTGGAAATTTTTTCTTTAAAAACTTTCAATTTTAAAATATACTTAGTATAGAATAAAATTCTGGAATTTTTATGATTATTTGTACACAAACTAATAACTTTCATGTTAAATGTGCTCGTCTTTTGATGCTTTAAGATATTATATAAATTTTCGGACTCAAGATGCAGTGGCAGACATCTTAGAAACTAAAGGTTTTATTTTTCCAATATTTTAATTTTATAGATTCTATACATAAGCGTGATACCTTCATTTAAACACAAATATTATGTCTGCTACAAGACACGTTTTGAAATTCAGTTTTAATATAGTCTATTCAAATTAATGCATACATATAATAAGGAAATAAGAATATTGTAAAACGAAATTATTGAAAAACATTCATTCATATTGCTAATAAAGAATTAAAATGTTGAGAAACAAATGTTTAGAATTATTTTAAGCATGTGGGTTTTTTATGGGGGAAAAAAAGCTTAATTATAGTAAATAAAAAACCAGTTATTCGAATATAATTAATAACTTAGAAGTCAAATACAAAAATAAAATTTTAAAACTTGTTATTTATGAAAATATTTATGAATTTTATTTTTAGAGAATCGTCATATCTTAACTTATAACATCTGATCGGTCTTAGAATTCATTAGGAATTTTCCAAAATATAATGTAAAAAATTTTTAAAAATATAGAATAAGAATGTAAGAATATACTTAATGATACATTTACATATTTAATGAATTTAGACTTTTGTAAGCGATTATTAATATATTAATATATTGTTAATTAAAGTGATTTTATAGATTTATTTTTCAGCATGCTCCTATAGCATACTGGCTTACCTATAGCATACTGGCTTACAAAAATATTATTTTTCATTGTAATGTAAAAAATTAAAAAACTATTTGTGAATTTTAAACGTGCCGGAAAATCTAAGACGCAAGAAATCTATGCTTGAAGTCAGCGCCGAAAATTAGTGTAGGAGATGGATTCAGTAGCTTTTACAGATATTGTGTACTGGCGGCTAATCTTCCTTGCATGTTCGCCAATAAAAAAATGCCCAGTCAGAACCCTAATAACATCACCGATATCTGCGCGTCGGGGAAATAATTCATTGATAAGTACTACGGAAATTGTAAAGTTCATTAACTCGATTTTACAAAGTATAAGGTTATTTGTCATGTCATACGTGTGCGCCATAGTATCATTATATTAATTTGATTATTTTATAACTAGTATATATGTATAATAACTTTATGTAGTTCCTCGTCTCCCAATATAATTTTTAATACACAATTATGTAATTAAATTAATTTCTTAATAATTTTTTCAAAATTTTATACTTAATGTTTATTGATACAATAATTTTATGTTATATTTTATTTGTTAGATTATATTTTTTTTTTTTGTAGATTAGATAAAATAAATTGTCATATTGCAAAAAAAAAAAGCCAGATTGTATATTTTATATACAAGTAAAGAGAAAATAAATTTTACTATGAATTTCGATAAAAATAGATTAGTTAAGAATAAATATTTTTCAGCTTTGATTTTAATACACTCGTTCACATAAGTACGTTATTGAGTTAAATCTGAATATCAATATTACATGCATATCTTGTCATGTAATAGCAATTGGTGATATTGATAAAAGTAAGTTTCAATTCGAAATTATTTTATTAAAAGGAAATTGAAGTACATGCGGCCCGTTTGGCTAACATCATCATATGAAAAACAATAATTGTACATAATAACATTTTTGAATTCTTAAAGTGTAAACATATCTAAAAATACTCTGCACTCTGCTTCAAATTACAAAATTTCAGTATTAAATCGACATTGTCCATACCAATTTTACAATACACATAATAATATAACAATACGAAAGTCCTCAGTCCCATTCCTATAACGAAAACTTACTGAAAGTAAAAAGTTTTATTATAGTACTACATACATTTATTTACACGGTATTCAAATTGAGCATTATAACAAGACGACCAAAAATACAAAAGGCTAACATAAAATTATTAAATGGAACACTTGAATTAAAAACATAATAACAATAATGAATTCTTCTTCCTTATTCTACTTAAACCTCTACTTTTTATTTAATTAAATATAATACAAGTAAGTATATTGTCCTTCTAAGCTACCACCCTTTTGAATTTTCGCTACTTCCTTTATTTCATGTTTTGTATAATTAGAACAATATCTAGAACAAATAAATGTTTATTGTATGATAATTAAAATTAAAGTATGTTTTATGTAAATGTGCAATATTTTCAGTTTAACAAGATGCAAATTGGTAGTATAGGTACTACATACTTATATGATGTCCTTAACTATGTTACATGTATATACTTAAGCTGTGTTCTTAAGTACTTTTAAATGAAAGATTTTTGACTAATATACAAAGTGTAAGAATAAGATCTTATTCTTATTTCTGTGAAAGTGAAAAATCGATAAACCTTTGAATAAGAATTTGACTTAAATATGACATATACTATATGTATATATTGTTATATGTATGTACTATAAATAATACAACAATAGGACTCAAATGGCAACAACAAATTTTTATGTTTACGAAACGAAGTGAAAAGGGTGATGAATAAAATCTCGTTGTTAATATAAGTTAGTAAAATTCTATCTTCCTTTTTTCAGAATCTTTTCATTTGTGAAATTTTTCAAAATTCTAGTTTTCATATTCGGAAAACAAAACACAACGCATTCTAAGAAAATTTAAAAAAATTTTTATATTTTTATTATTTCTTCGTTAAACTTTTTGAAATACATATGACGATATGTATGATTAACGTTTCATTTAATCTCAATGACAATATTATTGCTATTTCCGGTAATTGCCGACAGTTTATGTCATAATTAAGTATACTTAAAACCTTAGGTATAATTATACATTAGATGCGAGTAAAGCATGTCTTATTTAACTAAGACAAAAGCATAGCAATATCACACTAACTTTTGAAAATATTAAGCAAAATAATTTGATTAAAAATAAATACATAAATATACAACAATAGGGTTGGGATAAACAAAACTCATACGAGATTCACAAACTTTTCTGCAAATATTAACCCATTAGAGGCTATTATACCCGAATGGAGATAATACCAATTAAACAGAAATTTTTTGAAAATCACTCATTTATTCTTGTAAGTCACTGAAATCACTGACAAAACTTTGATTCCCATTGAACTCGCATTTGGAATGCTTATGTCCATGTAAGAGAAATAAGCCATTTTCGGCAGATATTGGTGCGTTAGCCATTTTTTTCTATATGTATCTTTTAATCTTAATTTCGACTGAAGTGATTTATAATCAAATTTTACAAGCATCTGGGCTTTTATTGAGAAATTTGATTTTAAGAAATTTAATTTTTTATTTTATTATTTTAAGGAAATCGAATTGATTAACCCCAAGCATAATAGGTTATGTGCTGCTTGCAATCGATTATATTTCGTGCAATGAGATGACATTTTTTAAAACGTATATGATAAGTTAATATATTATATAATTTATAATAAAAAATCTAAATTATTATTAATTTTACAGGTATACTAACATAAAATCGTATTTAAATGGCCATATCATATATATGTATATAAACTTGTTTGTGAACATTTAATTCACATGATAGCAAAATATTTTCTAAAATATCATGCTGTCGTCAGAAAATTTCAATCGATTATAAAGAATTTGATACTACATACTCGATTTCATATAAAAATACGTTAATATTCTATTGCAGGGCTACCCAAATTGTCACTTTTATTCTATTATCTCAAATTCTATCTCTATTTCTATTGAAAAAAAAATATTATTATTTTAACCATGTAAATTTTATAAAACATTTTCAAAACATTGTTTTGTAAGTTTTATCAACAACCGTATAATATAAGAATAATCCATTTTTGTACCCGTTCGAACGTTGAAACTGCATAATATTCCAAAAAATTATTTTCAACAAAAGTCTTTGGGATGGTATAAGTTTGTGTGATAACTGCCAATATACATATGTACAATAAAGCACTAACAGCGCAGTGTATCACATCATAAAAACATTCATTTGCACGGGTATCACAAAAATGTTATGGCCAGAGTTAACCTCTTCCTATTTTTAGAACTTTTAATTTTTGGTTCTCGTCACGTTAAAGTGTGGCCATCCCTGCTCAATTGTGTGTTTATATTTACAACAACTGAAAACTTCAATACAATATAAATTTTTTTTTGACATTATGTTCGTGCATACTATTTCCCTATCTCTATAGCCATACATATTATGTGCTATTCATGAATATACATCATTGTCGGACAGTTATTACTATATTATGTACATATTATGTACATATCTAAGTAGTTTTAACCATTCCAATTGCATTAGAAAAACCATGTCATTATTATATTGTTTGCTTTATGAGAAAATTTATAACATGTGAGTGACTGAAATAATAAGTGCTATATGTGCATACTATAAGCTCATACAATAAGTATAGTAGATCATCATATGAAGGGGTGTGTAAGTATATATGTATGTATATACATGATTATTTAGTTTTAAGAACGAGATAGAAATCTTTTAGCCAGATATATAAAATAAAAAAAAAACTAAAAAAAAAATTAAAA